TTCATATTTCCATTCACCTTCAGAGAGCTGAATGTGGTGAGAGAGAACAAGTACAGCTTGGTGGAACTTGTTCATCACTTCTTCAGAGAAACCAGAGACACAGGAATCTGCAGGTTTGATCAGTTCTCGGTTGTGTTCATCTTTGACGGTCTGGATGAGTGTCGACTTCCTCTGGACTTCCACAACACTGAGATCTTGACTGATGTCACAGAGTCCACCTCAGTGGATGTGCTGCTGACAAACCTCATCAGGGGGAAACTGCTTCCCTCTGCTCGCCTCTGGATAACCACACGACCTGCAGCAGCCAATCAGATCCCTCCTGAGTGTGTGGACATGGTGACAGAGGTCAGAGGGTTCACTGACCCACAGAAGGAGGAGTACTTCAGGAAGAGATTCAGAGATCAGGAGCAGGCCGCCACCATCATCTCCCACATCAAGACCTCAAGAAGCCTCCACATCATGTGCCACATCCCAGTCTTCTGCTGGATCTCTGCTTCAGTTCTGGAGGAGGTGTTGAAAACCAGAGAGGGAGGAGAGCTGCCCAAGACCCTTACTGAGATGTACATCCACTTCCTGGTGGTTCAGTCCAAAGTGAAGAACATCAAGTATGATGGAGGAGCTGAGACAGATCCACACTGGAGTCCAGAGAGCAGGAAGATGATCGAGTCTCTAGGGAAACTGGCTTTTGAGCAGCTGCAGAAAGGCAACCTGATCTTCTATGAGTCCGACCTGACAGAGTGTGGCATCGATATCAGAGCATCCTCAGTGTACTCAGGAGTGTTCACACAGGTCTTTAGAGAGGAGAGAGGACTGTACCAGGACAAGGTGTTCTGCTTCGTCCATCTGAGCGTTCAGGAGTTTCTGGCTGCTCTTCATGTTCATCTGACCTTCATCAACTCTGGGGTCAACCTGCTGTCAGAAGAACCAACAACCTCCCAGAAGTCTGAAGTCAAACCTGAACTAACACATCTCTACCAGAGTGCTGTGGACCTGGCCTTACAGAGTCCGGACACCTGGACTTGTTCCTGCGCTTCCTCCTGGGTCTTTCACTGGAGACTAATCAGAAACTCCTACGAGGCCTGCTGACACAGACAGGAAGTAGCTCAGAGACCAACAAGAAAACAGTCCAGTCATGGATCAACTATAAAATAGTCCAGTACATCAATAAGAAGATAGAAGAGGATCTGTCTGCAGAGAGAAGCATCAACCTGTTCCACTGTCTGAATGAACTGGATGATCATTCTCTAGTGGAGCAGATCCAACAGTCCCTGAGTTCAGGAAGTCTCTCCACATATAATCTGTCTCCTGCTCAGTGGTCAGCTCTAGTCTTCATCTTACTGTCATCAGGAAAAGATCTGGACGTGTTTGACCTGAATAAATACTCTGCTTCAGAGGAGGCTCTTCTGAGGCTGCTGCCAGTGGTCAAAGCCTCCAACAAAGCTCTGTAAGTACAGAGATCATTTGATTTAGTGAATCAGTTATTAATACACTGCTGTCTTCTGAATAACTGTTGTCCTCATTGTCTCTTCAGGCTGAGTGGCTGTAAGCTGTCAGAGAGAGGCTGTGAAGCTCTGTCCTCAGTCCTCAGCTCCCAGTCCTCTAGTCTGAGAGAGCTGGACCTGAGTAACAACGACCTGCAGGATTCAGGAGTGAAGCTGCTGTCTGCTGGACTGGAGAGTCCACACTGTGAACTGAAGACTCTCAGGTTGGTGTAAAGCTGTTTAAAAATGTTGACCATCTCAATTATATGTTTCTTCATATACTACTTATTGAATGGACATGTTATTGAATGATTTCAGGCTGAGTGGCTGTAACCTGTCAGAGAGAAGCTGTGAAGCTCTGTCCTCAGTCCTCAGCTCCCAGTCCTCTAGTCTGATAGATCTGGACCTGACTAACAACGACCTGCAGGATTCAGGAGTGAAGCTGCTGTCTGCTGGACTGGAGAGTCCACACTGTGAACTGAAGACTCTCAGGTCAGAGACCAGTACAGTTTGACTTAGCCAACAATCAGCCCTGCTGTGTGGTGTGGGAATACCATCATCAAAAACATAATTGAAGTGAAACAAGACACAATATATTTGTCACAATTCACAAAATGTTAATTAGCACACACTTCTATAAAGCCTCTATAAAGAGCTTCATTTTTATTGATTTGGCAGAAGCGTTTGACCTCCAGCTCTCATTTGGGTAGTCATTTGGTGCTAAGGCTCTCTGCCTGGAAACGATGGATTGACTGAGTTTTTGCTATCTGCTAACTATCTCAGGCTCTCGTTAACGAGTGAGGGTCAAATGAGGTGTTAGATGGACAGCCAGTTTGTTGCAGAGTCAGTAGTGATGCAGGCGTTGTACAGGACCGTTAGAGAGAGGAAGCTGAGCTGGAGGCAAAGCTCTCTATTTACCAGTCCGTCTGCGATCAACCCTTACTCACCATCATCAGGTTTAGGTAGACACTGAAAGGATGACATCACAGATACAAGCAGTTTAAATGAGCGTCAGATTAAAGCTTCTTCTGTAGGCTGACTGGACCCTCAGATGATCTGACGGCTTGTTTGTGTGTCTGCAGGCTGTCAGGCTGTCTGATCACAGAGGAAGGCTGTGATGCTCTGGCCTCAGCTTTAAACCCCTCCCATCTGAGAGAGCTGGACCTGAGCTACAATCATCCAGGAGACTCAGGGGGGAGGCTGCTGTCTGCTGGACTGGACACACTCAGGTATGGAGAGGGACTCAGTCTGATAGAGGAGGTAGAAACTGGCTCCTATGACCTGAAACAACCAGAGCTGATAGACCCTGACTCTTCACACTGTCTGCCGTCAGCTGTAAACATCAAACACAAATGTTCCACAACTGAGAGGAAACCCCCCCTCAGTGGGTCAATGTTCATCGTGGAACGACCAACAGAAACAGAGTGGGGGGGTTTTAATGTTCACCCAGATTTAGCACAGGAAGTGACATCATGAATAAATAAACTGATTTCATTTCCAGATGTTTTTAATTTGAGTCCTAGCAAACAGCCAATGTTCAACGAACCTTCTCTTGAATGAAAATAAGGATTTATAAGTTTCACTGTTGGGAGTAACGAGGGGACCGTGCGGCAGAGTTTCAGTTTCAGTTTCTTTCGCCGGTCAAGATGTCCGTTAAAGTTTAAATCTTCTGGACAAAATTAGAAAAGTGCCGGTCAAAGGTCTTCTTTGTTATTTATTGAGCTTTAAAACAAATGAATAACGACTCTATATAATAAAACACGGAGGACGGAGATCTCTTTTTCTCCCCCTCTTCTGACAGCCCAGCAGCTGATCAGAGCACGGCTCCCCTCTCCTGCAGGGGGGCGTGGTCAGCAGAATCAAACCCGTAGACAGCAAACAGCACATAGAGCGAAATGAGGCATGGCTAAAATGCATGATCTGTTTGGTATTTTGAAAACAGAAACGTATAAATATACCTTATATAGGTATGGCTCTACAATATATCATTTAAATATAGCATGATAGGTCCACTTTAAAGACTAACTGACCCCCCCTCTGCTTTCAGCCTGGAGCCTGCTGCAGTCCAGTTCTTGAGGCCAGGAGGTGTCAGGAAGTGTAAGTGTGTTTTTAATCATGAACATCTTCACACTGGGACATCACAGGTACTTTAGTAACCTTTAATACCTGCTGTGTCTCTCATCAGATTCCTGTGGACTCACACTGGACTCAAACACAGCACACAGAGGACTCAAACTGTCTGACAACAACAGGAAGGTGAGACGTGTGAGAGAGGAGCAGAAATATCCTGATCATCCAGAGAGGTTTGACTACTATCCTCAGCTGATGTGCAGAGAAGCTCTGACTGGTCGCTGTTACTGGGAGGTCAAGTGGAGAGTAGGGGCTTCTATAGCAGTGACTTACAGAGGAATCAGCAGGAGAGGAGGCAGTGAGAACGGTTGGTTTGGAGGGAATGATCAGTCCTGGAGTCTGATGTGCGGTGATGGAGGTTACACTGTCTTTCACAATAACAGAGACATCTCCCTCTTCTTCTCCTCCTCCTCCTACTCCTCCTCTCGTAGAGTAGCAGTGTATCTGGATCATCCTGCTGGCTCTCTCTCCTTCTACAGAGTCTCCTCTGACACACTGATCCACATCCACACCTTCAGAACCACATTCACTGAACCTCTCTATGCTGGGTTTGGGTTTGGGTTTGGGTTTGGGTTCTTGTTACCTGGTGCCTCAGTGTCTCTGTGTTCTCTGCAGGAGTGATCCCCCCCCCCCCCCCCCCTCCCAAAAAAAGAGAGGGGCTGATAATAAAAGTGTAAAACTAAGATTTCTGAGATTATCTGAAAAAATATGTCTGTATGTTCATTTTCTTTTTAAACAAATCTAAATGTTGAGATTTCATAAAATAAAGTTTTCAGAAAGAAGTCAGAATTGTAAGATTTTAAGAAAAAGCTCAAAACAAAAGTCAGTCTTTGCAAAGATGAAACTCAGAAAGAGGTTGAATAACAACAGGAAGTCCATTCTGATTTATTTCCACACGGAGGCTTTTATTCTGAAACTGCAGGAAAATGTACATTTATCCCAAAGTCTTCCCACCATCTGTAGTTTGTGAACACGTGACATCACTTCAGTTTGAATGGCAGCAGTAAAGGGTTACTGAGGCTCGTTAAGAACAGGTCATAGTGACGAGTTCAATCACTTCTGCAGAATATAATATATGATGTCTACAAACTAACATATAATAACGTCTGAAGTGCAAACGTGAACATAAAGTGCAAACCACAGCGTGCATGCATTTGAGCTCAATGACCGGCTTCCCTGTGAATATTTAAAATATAACGTGGCCCTACACAGCAGAGTCTGAGCGGCACAGTGTGCAGCTTTTATTTTAATGCTGGCTTTTTACTCTCATGCAAACATGGTCATTACTTTTTAAGAAGGGTCAGATTCGATTAGCCTTATTTGCATTTAGGAAACAAATCTTCCCTAAACAGCACGATGATGTTTGAATGAACACGGCTGCTTCTGGGGTGAATGTAAACCTCTGATCTGGGTTAGATGGGTTTATTAACAGACCAATCACATGATGATTGTCTCATCATTAACACTCATGTACTTTCAATGTAAGCAGCTGATCTAATTAATAAAGTCTGTGTTTTGAGTCGGACTCGTGGCCTGTCTTTGTCTCAGTTTGATGGTTTATTTATATATACTTTTAATTTCTCTAACGTGCAATACCTTGTCTTTTTATGCTGCTGCAACGCAAACATTTCCCAAATTGGGATCAATAAAGTATTTTTTATCTTCTCTTATCTTAACGCGAGGGGAGAATCCTCTTGTTTGGTCTGAAGGTGAGTCTAATCAGACGCCGCTGCCCCCCCCCCCCGGCCGTACAGCAGGAACCCCCCCGCGGTGCGAAGCTCCTCCAGATCCAGGTTGGACAGGAAGCTCCTCTGAAGCTCCGCCTCCACCGTGCACCCTCCCGGGCCGCTGCACCCTGCCAGCAGCACCACGGCCGACTGACACAGCAGCCAATCAGAGAGCTTCCTCAGGTCGGATAGAGCCCGCCCCCCCCACAGGCTCAGGTGAAGCATGTTAGCGGCGACACGAGCGCTGGGCCGCTGCAGAAGAGAGTCAAAAAACAGGTGGTTAATGAACAACCTGTTATAATATCTGTTGGGAAAATCCTGAATGTCCTCTTCCAACATGAGAGCAACATGATAACAAAGGTATCTCAACTGTAGCTGTGAACATGACAGGATGTATGATTACCTAGAAGAGCATCAGGACTGTTTGAGGCATATGATAGCTATGTGATTAACATGATGATTCAGCCTCTATGGAGATAGACATATGACAAGCATGATCATTTCTGACGTGGAGCTAATCTGAAGTAAACATTGAATACTGCTTTCTATTCCTCCATCTTGTGACTGTGTAACTCCCTCTCTTGGATATCAGCATGTGAAGGACACTGTTCAGGAACTAGTTGATGCTCTGTATGTGATGACTACTTCCATTCTGGAGAGGATCACAAATACATTGATCCTGAGATTGAAGCTCAAGCCGGGGACCAGTGATTATTAACATTTTGAAGTATTCGGAAAAGTCAGGATTTTGAGAGACAGTCCAAATTTTGTGATTTTTTGAAAGAAACCAACATTTTGAGATAAAGTCAGAATTTTGTGAAAAAGTCAGAATTTTGTGATTTTATTTCAAAAATAATTTTGAGATTTTCATGAAAAAAACCAACATTTTGAGAAAAAGTCCCAATTTTGAGAAAAAGTCCCAATTTTGCTATGTGATTAACATGATGATTTTATGGAGATAGCCATATGACAAGCATGCTCATTCCTGATGTGGAGCTAATCTGAAGTAAACATTGAATACTGCTTTCTATTCCTCCATCTTGTGACTGTGTAACTCCCTCTCTTGGATATCAGCATGTGAAGGACACTGTTCAGGAACTAGTTGATGCTCTGTATGTGATGACTACTTCCATTCTGGAGAGGATCACAAATACATGGATCCTGAGATTGAAGCTCAAGCTGGGGACCAGTGATTATTAACATTTTGAAGTATTCGGAAAAGTCAGAATTTTGAGATTTTGAGAGAAAGTCAGAATGTTTTGATTTTTTGAAAGACACCAACATTATGAGAAAAAGTCAGAATTTTGTGAAAAAGTCAGAATTTTGTGATTTTCATGAGAAAAAAAACATTTTGACAAAAATAATTTTGAGATTTTCATGAAAAAAACAAACATTTGATAGAAAAAGTCAGAATTTTGAGAAAAAGTCCCAATTTTGTGAAAAAGTCCCAATTTTGCTATGTGATTAACATGATGATTTTATGGAGATAGCCATATGACAAGCATGCTCATTTCTGACGTGGAGCTAATCTGAAGTAAACATTGAATACTGCTTTCTATTCCTCCATCTTGTGACTGTGTAACTCCCTCTCTTGGATATCAGCATGTGAAGGACACTGTTCAGGAACTAGTTGATGCTCTGTGGGTGTTTCTCAATCGCGAGTACGCTTGCTTGGTAGCACATGTCTGCCGAGCATCTTGCTTCAGAAGCGAGGCAAGAATACTTCCTGGCATTCGGAAAACGAAGAGTGGAAAAGGCTAGCAAGTGTGCAGGTGTGCGTCATATGAGAGGCCGCGCCTCCTTACATCTTCCGCCACAGATTTGGGGAAATTGGTCCGTGCGCAAAGCATTGTGGGGATCTTAAGACCGCGGAGTCTACTCATGTGCAGCCTCGATATTTCTCCAAACGGAGTACGCCGGGCTCGGTAGATTTCCAAGTATACTGGAGATTGGAACTGTACTTCGGCAGCACTCGATGACGTAGTATGCTTGAAATAGTGGCTCTGAAGCAGCTTTACTCGAGATTGAGAAACACCCCATATGTGATGACTACTTCCATTCTGGAGAGGATCACAGATACATGGATCCTGAGATTGAAGCTCAAGCCGGGGACCAGCGATTATTAACATTTTGAAGTATTCGGAAAAGTCAGGATTTTGAGAGAAAGTCCAAATTTTGTGATTTTTTGAAAGAAACCAACATTTTGAGAAAAAGTCAGATGTTTTGAAAAAGTCAGAATTTTGTGAAAAAGTCAGAATTTTGTGATTTTCATGAGTAAAAAATACATTTTGACAAAAATAATTTTGAGATTTTCATGAAAAAAACAAACATTTTGAGAAAAAGTCCGAATTTTGAGAATAAGTCCGAATTTTGAGAAAAAGTCCCAATTTTGTGAAAAAGTCCCAATTTTGTGTAAAAGTCCCAATTTTGCTATGTGATTAACATGATGATTCAGCCTCTATGGAGATAGCCATATGACAAGCATGCTCATTTCTGACGTGGAGCTAATCTGAAGTAAACATTGAATACTGCTTTCTATTCCTCCATCTTGTGACTGTGTAACTCCCTCTCTTGGATATCAGCATGTGAAGGACACTGTTCAGGAACTAGTTGATGCTCTGTATGTGATGACTACTTCCATTCTGGAGAGGATCACAAATACATGGATCCTGAGATTGAAGCTCAAGCCGGGGACCAGTGAGAGTTTTAGAATTCTCCTGATGAGATCTATTTTTTTTGTATTATTATTTTTTTAAAGCTACAGACCCAGAATCAGCACTTTAGTAACAGCTGGAATAGAGGGTTTGAGGCTAGAATGATCTGTTTGGTAATTTGAGCAAAACACTTCATAGACATGTTTTTTATATATTTCTATATATCCAAGACCCATAATTCTGCCTAGAAGTAGTATGATAGGAGATCTTTAATATATATCTGTGTATATCACCTTGCTGGGGCTCCTCCTGAGCAGCAGCTGAATCACTAGCTGCACATCAGCAGGTGCAGTGGGGAGGGGAGGTGGCAGCTTCGTCTCCTCGTAGCTCCGGCTCTGCAGCCCCCCCGCTCCGTAGAAAGGGTTTTGCTCCCTGAAGATCTCGTAGGCGACGGCGCCGACCGCCCAGCCGTCCGCCTTCCTGTAGTCGATCACCGAGGCCCGGCCCGGGGAGGCACTGGACACCTGGGGGGGGGGGGGGGGGGCAGAGAGCGGTTATAGACAACAGGGTCAGGGTTCACTGTGTAACTCTGATTATAAGTCTTTATTATATTTCTGTATATTTATATTGTGGGTTATATATAGATATAGATATTTATTTAAAAGGTCTCCTATCATGCTAAATGCACTTTTGTATGTCTTTTCTACATAAATATGTGTCCCCGGTGTGTCCCCGGTGTGTCCCCGGTGTGTCCCCGGTGTGTCCCCGGTGTGTCAGGAGATAAAACCCTCTCTCTTTCCCTCCGTACCCACATCTCTAAAAACGGGGGAACAACGGAGCTGATCCAGATTTGCTGCGTCATGACGTAACATCTGAAATGTGGGCGGGCTTTAGACCCACGGCAACATGTGGTAAACACGCAAGAGAAAAAGCATTTGAGCTCCATACATTTCAGAAATAATCCTTGATGTGGTTTTGAACATGATATGGCGTTTCATCACGGCTGAGAATCTCTCGGTAGAATTCTGAGATGGCACAAGCTCCCTTTTTTTAAAGCTACTGACCCAGAATCATCTCTTTAGTACAGTGTTTCTCAAAGTGGGGGGCATGACATTTTTTTTTTTTAAAAGAGAATTGTTATGACGTCGGCATGACCGGCGGAAGTTTAAGCGTGCCGTGTCGTGCCGGGCCCGTTTTGGTTGCGTTTCCACTAGGCTTAGTTCCGGCCCGGGGCTACTTTTTCACCTCTTTTCTGGCCCGACAAAATCGTGGTTCTTTCCGGGCCAACAACCAGGCTGAGTCGGGCTGAGTTTGCTAAAGAGAGAGAATAGCTGGCAAGGGGGCTACAAGTACAACAAGGTGGACATATTTGACCGTGATTTAATTGTAATACACGTTTCAAAATGATGCCGAAGTAACAACATACTGATACCGGTTAGTAAAAACCATGAATTAATGCTTTGACAAGTCTGCAGACAGACGGCAGGTGAAAAACCTTTTAAAATGCGTGTTTTCTAAATGGAGATTGGCTAAGCTAACGCAGTATATGCTCCGACCGTCCACACTCACAACAACGGCCTACAGACATAAATAAACCAGCGACTGTATTCACCATGACACAGGCAGTCTGTGGTTTGTACTTGTTTAACTTTGGTCTTTTCTGAACAGATATGAGGAGCTGTGAGCTCTGAGTGCTAACAGCTAACGGCTGATGTTGTTTTTCTGGGGTTCTCATTGAAGATGACGTCACGGCTCCGGCTACACTGCGTTACTATAGTTACTACCCCAGGTCCTAAACTGTAATGGAAGCGCAGCATAAAGTGAGCCTGGCCTAACAAGGCCTAACAAAACCGTACTAAGTCGAGCGAGGCCTGCGGTGGAAATGCGCCATTAGAAACCTTAGAAACCTACGAGGGCGCTGTAGGACACAGGTGTGTAATGTACATTTTGAGGATGGAAGGTCAATAGGCGGCGTCAGGGGGGCGCTAGGGGGTGCCCGAGCACGGAGTGCTAGGACCCAACGGCGTCCTAGCACGAAGTGCGAGGAACCTATTGTTTTCCTACGTATTATTATTTTTCTGCTGGCGTTTCCTGTTTTTGAGGCCTTTAGGACGCTTACAAAGTTGTATAATTTTGCACGGACACCAGGACTGGTGAAAACTACAATATTCTGGAGTCAATGAGCTCAAATTGTCCAACGTGCTTTCTAGCGCCACCTATGAAAAACCCATTTCGGAATAAATTTACAAAGTCGCACCGTAACTCCAAATGACCTGAAATGTTGCACACATATCCGGGTGGACCTGCTCTACAAATAATCCTCTTGGAACCCTAAGCTCCGCCTACATTTTTTTTAATTTAAATTACCATAATGTTCAAAACAGTAAAATATTCACTTAAATTTCAATTTTCAGTTTTTCAACACCAAACTTCGTATTCAGCATCGGTGGAGGGTCAGACACATTAACGTAGAAAATAAGCATGTTAGGACGATAAATATTGCCGCCGTCAATCAAAACGTACTCGCAAAAAGGCGGGGCTTAGAAAGAAATGCTCATAACTCATCAACAATATATCTATATATCACAGATTTTGGTATATAGGTTCAGTCTATCTTGGGGAATAGGCACACCAAAGCATTTTCATTTTGAACAATAGGGGGCGCCAAAAACACCACCAATTTGTAACTCAAGAACGGATGGACGATTTTTTTCTTTTTTCTTTTTTTTACACATACTCTGGGGGTGACTACGAACTCAGATTTAAAGTGTCGCAACAAATTCAGAATGTGGGCGTGGCCTATACATTTTTTTTAAATTGCGATAAAAACGAGCTTCGGACGCAAAACTTGGGACACACGTCAGAGCCCACGACCTTTTTGAGAATGTAAAAAAACCAACGAATTTTTCAAAAAAACTGCTCACTAGCGCCCCCTATTGTGTGGTAGTCACATATAGTTTCTCAGAACTTCACGAATTTTGGCACAGACATTCCTCATGGAATTGCGGACATATTTCAAATTGCCTTCCATTAGCCCCGCCCCCCAGGAAGTCGGCCATTTTGAAAAATGTGCGGTTTTCATGCATTTTAAGCACATTTTTGCTAATTCGTCATAGGGAAATGATCGGAAAAATTCCAATCTACGGCAACTTAAGCGCATTTCCAATGTGATGCTACATTGCGAAGGAATAGTCGATCGTTTGAACATGGAGCTCGTAAGCTAACGGAGAATGTACCATTTTTGACCATTTATATGTCAGATACTACCTTAAGGTACTGAGACCCGCCTGTCTGCCCGGCACATCAACTCTCACACACACACACACAAACAGACACACAAACACACACACACACTCACCTACTGTTTGTCCAACAACGCCCTTTGCTGGCAGCATATTCATTACAACAGACACCTATACACTCCATAACCCTAACCCTACTGTTTATTTGTAGATATCTCCTAAAGCCTACAAATAAAGTGTGAAATGTAGGCCTGTTACATATATTATTGAGTGATATATATTATACACACTGTTCTGCTTTCTGCACTGACCTCAGCAGCTGTTCTCACTGTAAACATCGCGTCACAATGAAAGCAGTTTTATTAAACAAATAAATAGCCTAACATCCAGGGGAGATGTGATTAGTGAGTAAACAAACGGTAAAGGGCAGAAAGTCTGATGCACATTTGATCATCTTAAATAACTTATAATCACAACGGGAACAGTTTGCAGAGCTGTGCTTCGTTGACATAAGTCCAGCCATGCGTCACACCTCTTTTAAACATCACTGTTGGCTGAAATCGACTCCGGAGAATACATCAGTGTACCCTCGGTTATAGCTCCTCCAGAGAGACTCCTCTCTCCTCTCTCCTCTAAATCAGTGTATCCTCGGTTACGGCTCCTCCAGACAGCCTCCTCCATAATCGATCCACGACGAGCCTTTAGAGAAATTTGTTTTCCTTCGACACGTCGCGCCGACATCCGTTTCCGGGTCGCTGCCGGAGGACCTGGGAGTCTGGGACGCGAAAATGATAGAAACGACAAACGGCTCATTTCGGAGGACTCGCGCACGTCTGCTTGATGCCGGGACGACCAGCCGCCCTCCCCGACAGGCGCACGGACGCGAGGGCCCGCTCATCACTGCGCACACTCCTGTGACCGCAGTTTTAATATGATCATTATAGTTATAAAAAAATAAGAGAATAAATGAAAAACAGGTATAAAATACTATGACAGTAAAACAAGAATAGAGTTTGAAAGGGGAGCGATTTGTAAAATATCCATAAAGAAAAAGTAAATCTGCTTACAGTTCTGTTTCAAATGGGTGTTGAGAGATATATCCATAGATCTCTCCATGTTGCTCTCTAAGTGCACCAGATTGATGCTTTTAACTTCAATATTTAAAAAAGAATCTTCCCGGGGATGTGAGGACCCCCTTAGAGGAGGTGAGGAGGACTGTAGCATTTCCCTCCGAATAACGGTCGTAGGCTTTACTTTACTGATGAATTCGAATTTATTTGTAACTCCAGAACCAACGTAAGAGCTTGAGCCTCTTCGGGGGGTGCTAACATTTAAACATACAGTCCGTTCTTCTCTTTCTCCGCCGTCACGTAATCTCGCCTTCTAAATAAAAGCATACAAATGAAGCAGGAAGTTAACCTAAATTACATTCTAAGATATATATAAAACTGCAACGAATGCAACAAAAACAATGCAACATCCCCTTCAGTCTCAGACAACACAAAATTGGGTTATCTACAAGCACTTTACCCCTGCTTACCCCTATATGCCGTGAGCTGATTATCGAGCCTTCATTGTAACAGTCGCGGGTACACTGTGTATGTGCGTGATTTTTTAATTGAATGCTCACGTTCATATTGATGTATTTTAATAAATGTTAACTCGGCCCATTACGTGACTATTTGTGTTGGGGGGGCCCGACTTTTTTTTTTTTCTCCAAAGGGGGGCCTGACGGAAAAAGTTTGAGAACCACTGCTTTAGTAACAGCTGAAAGAGAGGGGGATGAGGCTAGAATGATCTGTTTGGTATTTTGAGCAAAACACTTCAGAGACATGTTTTTTATATATTTGTATATATCTGAGACCTATGATATATGCCTACAAATATTATAATAGGAGACCTTTAAAGAGTTACTGAAGCTCACCTCGGGGGCCATGAGGCAGGCGTTGCCCCCCCGGCTCACCCACATGCTGTTGAAGGGAAGCTGCAGACTACAGTCGCTCTGAGACAGACAGCAGCCGAAGTCCGAGATCACCAGCCGAGGACATCCAGCTGCAGGAACAAATGACACTTTGAAACCTCTAATGTTCTCTGAGCGACTGAGGTCTGAGGACATCCAGCTGCAGGAACAAATCACACTTTGAAACCTCTCATGTTCTCTGAGCGACTGAGGTCTGAGGACATCCAGCTGCAGGAACAAATCACACTTTGAAACCTCTAATGTTCTCTGAGCGACTGAGGTCTGAGGACATCCAGGAATAATTCAACTGAGGGACTAAAATGTTGTGTAATTGTTCTCTCCGGGGTCTCGGGTTCAAATTGAAAAGTCGATTTACGACTATGACACTTAGACTATATAAGCTTGATTTTGTGTTCCTTTGAGCAACATAACTCATGTGTGTGAGTTGAACCATATTCCTGTATGTGATTTAACTCTGCTCCTTCTTGCAAGAATATAGGAGGTGTGTGGCGCAGTGGGTTGTGCGTATGTGTTCGGATCAGGGGTTCACAGGTTCAAACCCCACTGCGTGTCGTTGTGTCCCTGGGCAACTTCACCCAAAGTGCTCCTGTGGGGATTGTCCACAGCATTGAGTATGTAAGTCGCTTTGGATAAAAGCGTCTAACAAGTAACATGTAATGTAACGTTATTGATTCCTAAACCGGTGTTGAGTGATATTTTTCAGTGGAGGAGAGGCAGTGTTTCTCTGACCTGAGTCCAGCTCCAGCAGGATGTTGTCAGTCTTCAGGTCCCGGTGAGCGACCCCCTCACTGCAGAGGTGCTGCACGCCCTCCAGCAGCTGCAGCAGCATCAGGACTCGCTGCCTGCGGCTCGGCTGGTTCCCAGACAGGAACTGACGCAGAGTCTCGGGGTAACTGCAGCACAGGGGGGGAATAGCACTTAAAGGTCTCCTATTATACTATTTTTAGGCATATATTATATATATATATATATATATATATATATGCCATATGTGTTGTTGTCACCAGGTTGTGACCGGTCAACTTGTCTGGCACGAAGGGTACTTGTTGTGAGAACACTGAGGCACTTCTTTATCGGTGTTTGTGGACTCTAGGATGTGAAATCCTAGAGGCCATGAGTGTCGGACGCAGGTGGCTCAGTGTTCCCAGCTGTTTAGTCTACTCCTTCAGAGATGTTGATTTCTCTCTGTGAACCTGTTAAAAGGTCTAGCATAGAGAGAGGTTCTTCAGAATTGACGTGGCAACTCTCCCGTGTGGTCAGAACCTCTGACTCTTTGATTTGTGATGTGAATCCTCCGGCCGAATACTCTGAATAAACCCATCAGTGTTTGACATCAAAGCTCCAACTCTCACCGTGTCTCCTTCCTGAGTCGGTGACTCCATGCATTACTACACAGAAGTTTCCTCCACAAATATATATATATATATCGCAATATATCGTATCGCAATACTTAGCATATCGTAGAATCACAATACTATCGTATCGTGGCTTAAGTATCGCGATAGTATCGTATCGTTGGGAGCCTGGTGATTCCCAGCCGTAGTGAATTAAGTTTCTTCCGGAGCTGTAGATATCAATTCAAGGTTCAAGTTTCAAGGCTTTATTAGGTGCGTTCACACCGGAGTACTTTGGAGTACTTTTCCCACAATAGTTCATCAGAACTACGATATATTTGCGTTCACACCAAAAAGCCCCAGGAACTAAAGTAGTTCAAATTAGTTCGTCTGACCCGCTTTTCAGTCCCTGCTAGAGAGCAGGGACTGTCGTGGGAGAAAATAGTTCGTACGTCTGATTGGCTGTGCGGAATGCAAACCACGCCCGTTTGACTCTGAATTTTTTTTTGTAAGCGGCCATTGTATTTGCTCGCTTCGGGCCAGCGCACCCGAAGAGATTACTTTTGTGAAAGCAGTTATTATAGCAACACAAAATAAATCATCGGAGCGGTGGAGTGATGAGGATGTGTCGGCGCTTCTGGCGATTTACTCGGAGGACGCGAAGCGCCGCATTCAGAAGCTTCTACTGAATGCAGTTTCCGTGGCTCAGCAAAGTTAGCAGACCTGGCAAAGTCATGTCGGGACGACTACGAAGGTAAAATAAAATACATGCACTGCACTGTTTTAATCTGCACAATACTGGTCTTAGATGTACTTTTATTTGCTCAGTAGATCGAGCTAGCCATGCTAGAACTTGCTATCATAGGTCCAAGCTGGCTAACAACATCTAGCTAGCTAGCTATTCTCAGCCGTCCCCGCTATGAACACGTTTTGACTTGTGAATAAGTGTGCAATGTTCTGTAATTTGCTTCACTAACTCATGGCACTAATCGTGTGTTTCAGGCGAGGTGTTTCTCTCTGGATTAGAAACTAGTTTTCCCTTCCGGGATAAAACGATAATATAACGTTAGCAATTAGCATGCTAGCTGGACATAATGCTACCTCTAACAATACATTGTAGTTGCTATAATTTCAAGTCATTTGCAACATTCATTCTACATGTTAATGGTAAAAGCTTAAACAGTTGATTACCTGCATGCCACAAAGACTGATGTTCTAATATTTTTGCACATTTAAGTAGAAATGTAATTGAAATTCTATTTATTTTTCCTTTTTTTTATTGATTGTTATAATTGTACTCAGCCATGTTATGTTAGATGTCAATCCACTTACACTGTAACTACTCTGGCCTTGAAAGAAGGTTACACATCTAACTGATGTCCACTAATCCCTATAAAACAAAGTTCAAGCATACATTAAGCACAAAACAATAAATAAGGGCACTTTGACATACATTTTTTATTTGATATTATTTGATCCTATCTTATCTTCTACTTTACACCTGCATTTTGTACACTGTCCCTGCCTGCACCATGTCCAATGTTAGTCAATGTTGTCTCGTTGTTGCGATTAAGGCGAGACACCCCAGGTGAATAGGGTAATTTTTTTAACTTAAAGATATCAGCTAAAAATTTCTCCAGTTAATTACTTACAATAAGGCAATTGTTTTTTGTATTACAAGTTTTCTGAAATAGCATGTTTAAATATGCAAATGAACCATTATCTCATGAAATATGCGCATATTTTAACACATTTCAGGAACCGAAATCTGAACTTTGGATAAAGCCAGGATCAAAATTATTGTTTCATTTTGTAGTCATATTAGTATCTAAGGCTTTTACAGAAGGGATTTTGGATATCTCTTTGTATCACTCCATAAATCAGAAAATACTGTCAACAGCCCTAAAATATCAATTTTCACCATGTTTTTAGGTATACAATGTTATATAATTCAGGCTATGAATTATATATGACCAAACCCTTCTGTAAAAGCCTTCATAATATTGATAGGAATATAACTGGAAGGTTTGGTGTATGTAACTGCTACTGAAGTGGACATTTCTAACTCAGAGTAGGAGAAAAAACTCATTTTGAGAAAACGACCTTTAAAGATTGCAGTGTGACGCTAGCTAAACCTTCCTGTTATCTGGATGATAGCTTGCGCATCGACGCACTCCGTGAAGGTATTTCATGTTCGGGGTCATTTGTTTTTTGTATAACCTTGCTTCGTGCAAGTGACAATTGTTGTCGTCTTCTCTGTGAACGTTTTTTTCTCCGTTATTTTGCCATTTTCAGATTTAAATTTCTAGCGGAAAGCTAACCAGGAAGTGCTTTAGCACACCACGTGACGCATCTGAACGAATCACGTTGTCAGAAATTGACACCAGCCAATGAGATTTCGTTTCTTGGTTTAAAACCCCTTTGCACTTTCACGATTGGTTGCTGATACAAAGGAAATGACCATATTTGGATCCAATGAGATTGTGCAGGACAGACGGAGCTTTCCAACGATATCTCTGATGACATGGTGCAAACAGCGGTCGCGGTACTTTATGTTACGTTAGAATGCTAACTTTTGGTGAATGTAGGAGAAATCTACAGACGCAAATAGACAAACTATAGTAAAATAAACACTTAAATGTGTATTTTGTACGTTTTCCTTCCAAAAGCCTGAAAGAAAACATGTTATGGAATCAAAATAGCACACAATCTCAAAATTGACCAGTGCAGGAAAAACGATGTTTTTGCCTGCCGTGTCTCACCTTAAACTGATCTTGTATCTTGCATATTTCACCTTATGGAAGTGGGCACGCAATGACAGCTTCCTTGACACCATCATGGCGATGGACCGCCGTGCCATGGTCAGCAAGGAGAATGAGGACCTGCGTGCCATGGAGATGCACGACGAACGGCTGCTGCATTCACACAAGGCCCAGGAATCGGACGACCAGCTGCTCATGGCGCGCCAGGTGGAGCAACAAAATACCTTTCAGGCTGGGCTTCTGGCAGTGCTAAGCGAGCTGATTAAATCCAACAGGCCTTCAATACAAAAATTAAGAAAAACTTGTCGTCGTTGATAAACTGTACAATGACTTGTTGGGAGGCGTGTGGTGCAGTGGTCTGGTGCGTTGGTGTTCGGATCAGGGGAGCACAGGTTCAAACCCCACTGCAGTCAGGATGTCGTTGTGTCCCTGGGCAAGACACTTCACCCCAAATTGCCTACACCTGGGACAGTTCATTTTGTATGATTGTGATTATATATATATGCCACTGTTATTAATACTGACACCTAACTTTGCACTAAGGTGTGTCTGCTGCTGAGCCTACCTATTGTTATTATATATATATATATATATATATATATATATATATTGCCACTGTTATTATATTGTTTTGATACTACTGACACTTATTGATCTGCTGCTGATAAATAAAAGAGAACCTACATGCACAGCACTAGCATCTTGACTGTCTTTGTTTAAACCAGCAGCAGTGCAGCGGTACACAGACTAACCTGTGTGTGTGTGTGTAACGTAGTTCTTCAGGTGTGTATGCTTAACATGTATGTATTTATCACAGTAAAGATGGTATACAAAAGCTTTTTAAAGAGCTTTCAACCTCATCCCATTGTCTTTAACACACATTTAACATAATAATATACTCATATTAATATACAAATATACAGTATGAGTACTGTTTTGATACTGACATTTCATCTTTGCACTAAGGTGTGTCTGCACTATTGTAATTGTGTCTGTTGACTGTGGTAAATAAAAGAGAGAACCAAATGCACTGTACAAAAGATCAGCTTTATTGTCAATTTACAATTTCCATGCTGTTCAGATGCCTCAAGGGCTGTGCGCGTGTCTTGCCCCGCGGCGATTTTTTTAGGTTGCGTCTTCCCAACGTTGCTTCCAGGCGAATACAGAGGAGTTGAAAAGAGGCCTTGGACATTCGGAAATCTTTGATCCACTGCACATTAGTGTACGTTGGCACCACCTTCTCCCACCAGGCCGATGTTCTATTGTTCACCCAGAGAGAGCGCGGGACACGACGCGTTCCGTAGTATTCGCATATCTGGAACACATACAAAGACACAAATTAGCCCTACATAACTCCATAAATCCTACATTAGATAGTATTAATATGATTTAATGAACGTACCATTGCTGTTCTTTGGGCGTGATAACGGTCCTCAGCTGTCCTACGGCGAAACATGTCCATAGCGTGTGCTTTTCGTCGTCCAATCCTTTTGTTAAGGCTTCTTAACCGCCTTCGCCTCCGACTCAGCATTTCTATTGCATTTGAATGGTCGATCTGTATTTGTATTTGTGGCTGAGTTATTGGCTTAAATAACTCAGTTACGAAGCTGTATAACACGAGCACCAAAACGTCAACTCCATACCGTGTCTGAGGTCGGAAGGTAAACAGAAGCATACAGCGGAAGCGGAAGTTTTTTTTCTTCTTCTTCTCTCGGTTTTTTGGCGAATTGCAACTTTAAGGTGCATACCGCCACCTACTGTACTCGCCGTGAAGTTGTTTGCGGCCTGCCAGTAAATCCAAAGCAGAAGAAGAAGAAGAAGTGACGTCAGCGGCTCATTTGCCTAATCCACCCCCAGGAACTCATTTTGGTGTGAACGCGATCTGCTTTAGTTCATCAGAACTAAAAGAGCTCTCATGAACTAAAGTTCTCATGAACTATTGTGGGAAAAGTACTTGGTGTGAACGCCCCTATTGTCATGTGTACAGAGCTACAGTGTAGATCTGACAATGAAAATCTGAGGTCACAGGCTCCTCCAACAGAGCAACACAATAAAGCAGATACAATAGTCCAAGTAAATACAAATAAAATATAATATAATAGAAATAGTGCAGAATAGTCTATAGTAATTGGAATATTAATATATATAAGTTGCAAACAGATGAATGTTTATGGATGTTCTTCACAGAGTTCAGGTGTTTAACAGTGTCATGGCCTGTGGGGTGAAACTGTCTGAGTCTGGTGGATTTAGTCCTGATTTCATGACATGAATTCAATACATTTCAGTGGAGGAGAATTCCTTTATGAATAAAGCAGGTGACTTTACATTGTAAATGGCCGTATCTCTTCATGACGAGGAACAGCGTGCGGTTGTTTCCCAGCCCGCCGGGGTTCAGGCTGCTTTTACACGGGAACGTTTGCGTTTATGCACAGTATGCGTTTTCAAAAAAGTCTTCCGTTCACATGCATTCGTTTAATTTAACGTGTCTGTTCAAACGAGACCGCTGGAAACGCTGTAGTACATATGCCGGGACTGTAAGTGGCGCTGTAACTTCCGCCACAAAATACACCAAAAGCTACCCTTCTGTTTATGCCCCGCGGTGGATTTAGCAACATGTAGTAGTTCATGTAATTCTCCATGTCCACTTGTTGCTGATGGTTGTGGTAGAGGAGCTGTAGATTTTGCACTAACATCTGTAGCATGGTCAGTAGCAGTAGCACTAGCAGTAGCTACTGACAGTAGCTACTGGCCATGCTACAGCAGTGAGCAGCAGAGGCGGGGAGAGGTGGGGCTATCGTTATTTTTTCAGGAAATATTCGTATAGAGGCGATTACACGGACTCGTTTGACCCCCCAGAGAGTTTCGTTTGCAAATCTATCCACCTTGGGACCCGTTATCGTTTGTGGGGTCCGTTTCTATCGGCCTCGTGTAAATAATAGGGCTATACGTAAGAGAAACTATGCAGATACAAGCCATTTCGTTCTCGTGTAAATGTGGCCTCAGTCTGGCGGGCAGGACGTCGGGGTATTCCTCCCTCGCCCCGGGGGAGCAGCGGCACCTGAGAGAGAGAGAGAAATTGACTGGTCTTATAAATCTCTTTATCAGTTATCTGCAAACCCTTAAAGCTCTTTACAGACTACGAGTCATTCACCCATTCACACCTCATTCATGCAGAGCAGCACCACTTGCTCTAGGGAAACACACACACACACACACACACACACACACACACACACACACACACACACACACACACACACACACACACACACACACACACACACACACACACACACACACACACACACACACACACACACACACACGTGCTCAGTGAGGGCAGTACAAACTGATAAACTGGGTCAAAGTTATGGGCCCAGGAAAATATTTCCCCAACAAGTATCTTGCCCAAGGCCACATCGACATGTTGCCTGAGGGGCTGGGATCGAACCAGCAACCTTCTGGTTTAAAGACGATCACACTCAATGGTGTTCAGGCCTTCAGAGGGGGGAGAGACACTCACTCACACACACTCACACACTTAAACACACTCACACACACTCAACTCACACACACAGCGGGAGTGTAACTCTCACCCGTCCAGAGGCTCCTCCCCCTCCAGCTTCAGGGCCAATCGGCCGGCAGGAACCAGCTCCTGAGACATCGAGCTCAGGATCGCCTCGCTGGAAGACCCCGCCTGAAACACAGCCACTTTCCAACACAAGACAATTCAAAGTGCTTTACAAAAATGAAAGACATTAAGAGCATAATAATAATAATACATTTCATTTATATAGCGCTTCATCTGCCAAGACAAATCTCGAAGCGCTTCACAACAAAGGACACTGATAACATTTGAGAGATTAAACAAATAATAATAATAAAAAATAAATAAAAATAAAATATAAAATATAAAATATAAAATATAAAATATAAATAAATAAATAAAAATAAGAGTCGGAGATAGCGATAAAAATGGCAGTACTCCAGGTGTACCATGCTCAAAAGTTTATTGGAAGGCCTGCCGAAAGAAGAGGGTCTTAAGGCCGGTTTTGAAGACCTCGGTGGAAGGGGCAGATCTCAGCTGATCTGGGAGGGAGTTCCAGAGGCGCGGGGCGAATGAGCAGAAGGCTCCCATTGTTCGGAGACGTGTGCGGGGGATGTAAAGAAGAGGAGCGTGGCTGGAGCGGAGGGAGCGGGTAGATGTCTGGGTACGGATGAGGTCACAGAGGTATTTTGGGCTTTGTCCATTCAGGGCTTTGTAAGTGAGGAGCAGAACCTTAAACTGGATCCTGTAGTGGACTGGGAGCCAGTGTAGTTGGGCAAGTATGGGGGTTATGTGTGCGGACCTTTTTGCACCGGTGAGACCTCTGGCTGTGCTGTTCTGGACAAGTTGCAGGCGGTTGATGGATTTGGCTGGGAGACCGGAGAGGAGTGCATTGCAATAGTCTAGTCTTGAGAAGACGAGTGCATGAACCAGTTTTTTGGTGTCATCAGTTGAGAGTGAGGGCTTCAGTCGGGAAATATTTTTCAGGTGAAAGAAGGAGGTCTTGGTGATGTGTTTGATGTGGGCCTGGAAAGACAGAGTGGGGTCAAACCTTACTTTCAGGATGGTGACAACAGAGGAGAGAGAAATGAGCTGACCATCAAGGGAGGGGCTGATGTTGGCGGCCTTGGCAAGCTGGTCGGTGGTGCCTATCAGGATTGCCTCCGTCTTGCTGCTGTTGAGCTGGAGGTAGTTGGTGGTCATTCAGGAGCGGATGTCTTCCAGGCAGGTGTATTCAACTAATCCATGTAATAAACAGTTTTTAACGGTATATATATATTGCACATATTGCACATAGTTGGTATTTAACAACAAGGGGTGTTATAGTCTGTGTTGTTGTGTGGGGGGTCTACTAGGGGTCGTGGTGGTTATTTATGCGGCTTTCACACCAGCGCTTTTCCCTTTCTAGCTCCTAGCTAGAGCTTTTCTGGTTCAGCTCCGGTTTCCCTTTTCAGCTCCCGCTCTGTTCACACCGCCCAGCTGCCGCTGCTGCGTCATGACGTCACTGTTTACATCGCTGATTTTCTCCCCAACGGAGCTCACAAGAACAACGGGGGGGGGACTGCGTCGGGTCGATGATCGTGTTGCTTTTAATCATACGAAGCCAGATTAAATTAAATAACGACTTCTCCAACCTTATACTTTTCTCCAGAGTGCCGTGGTTCATTGTTTATTAATGTGTTTCAGCGGCATTTAGCGACCGCTGCAGTGCTGGCTGCTCTTCCACGGGAGTTTATTCTCCCGTTAGCTCCGGGTTAGCTCACACGGCTCTAAAGTATTCACTGTCTGACTGTCACACAAGCAGCTGATACATATCCCCAGTTCCCCTTAAGTGAATGTGTGTCAGTCTGAATTGACGCTGTTTGGCATCACAACGCTGTTATGAAAGTTTCTCTGGTATAACATGGGTGATGTTAGCATAGCAACCGAAGCTAAACTGACTACTTGCTAAGCCGTTTTCTACAGGCACATATTTTTCATTATGATTCTACTTGTGATAGTCGGACATGACAACCTGTGCAGCCCATGTATTGATTCCATCCGATAGCTGCTATAATAACAAACAAAACGTCTGCCTGCTCTCCACAATGATCAATAACAGCGAACGGATGGTCAAAGTAAGGTACAAATAAACAGAATCACACAAAGCCTGGTTAGTGTTGCCTGACTTTATAAAATGTGTTTTTTTTTTATAAGTGTGTGGTTGCCTTCAAGTCACTTTGCTCAGCGCTACTGCTTGTAGGCAGGCATGACGAGACTCTTCAGTCGACCCATGTTCAGGGAGGTGGGTTTAGTTTCCTGCACGCCTCGACGTAAGAGACGCCGCGTCATAGCTCCGAAGCTCTTGTCTCTAGACCGACAATTTTTTGGAGCTGGAAGTGAACCGCATTCCGGAGCTATGAGGCGGCGCCGCTGCGGTGTGAACAGGAAAAACCGGCGCTTTTCCAGCTCCAGCTCCGAGCCGGAGATGGAAAAGCGCCGGTGTGAAAGGGGCAATAGTCTGACCGCTGCAGGAAGGAAGGACCTGCGGTATCTCTCTAATGTGTAGGTGCTCCAATACTTTTGTCTATATTGTGTATAATTGAGTATCATCCGCATAACAGTGAAAATGTCCCGAGTGATTCCTTATTGCCTAAAGGAAGCGTATATAATGTGAACACAATAGGTCCAAGCTCTGAGCCCTTATGCTTTGCTGCGGCAAAACTGGCTGGATCAAATCAAACAGAACTCTAAACACATTTTCAGCTCTGCACACAATCTGCAATTCAACTCTGCACTTTCTAAAACACTGCACACGGTTCTCTGAGTAACACACAGAGATCTGACATATTCACCTGTCAGCCATTTTCAACACACTGCCATTAAACATGCTACACATATGAGCCAATGAACAGATACACATGCCAGCTGACCGTTAACGCCTGGCTGCTTTACTGCTGACTCAGCAATCAGGATATAAGTACAACAAATTTGATATTCATTTTAAAAATGTGTTTATTTATTACAGAGCTGAGAAAATAATATTTAGTCTTAAAGCTACATGAAAAAAAAAATCAAATATCCTGTTTATGAAATACCCAAGAAAAGAAAGAAGATTGAAGTCGTTGATTCATGAGAAAAGCACTCGGATAGAAAGTCAGAAACATTTGATTAAAATAAATGTAAATAACATGTCCAAAGAAAGTATTCAGAGTAATTCTTATTACAGTTTTATATTTGTTTTATATATTTCACAAATGATCTGCTTTGACTGCAGCTTGAGAAACGTCTGGATTCAGTCTGAAAGCATCCTTTTTTAACTTTAAACATGATCTTTAATAATGTTGTAGTGTAGTTTAACTCTGAGAGGTCGACTGGCTGGACTCCTCACTGGGACTCTGGTTCTGGACCAGCTTGCAGGGTCCAGGAGTTCTTGGAGAGAAGGAGCGCTTCCTGCCGCAGGACTCGGGGGATGGGAGTTCCTGAACATGGAGAAACAGCTTCAGTTATTATGCTCCAAACATCTGGAACAAAGTCACAGAAAGAATGTGTCTGCAGCTCAGAGAGTCCTGCTGGGAACCCACACATGTTGAGGAGCCCAAAGTGTGATGAGAGAAATGTACAGTACGGGTCCCCAGCACATAGAAGCTGCCGGATGCTAACCTGCATATGTTGGGAGAGCTTTACAGATCAGGAGAGGAACTAAGTACATTTACTCAAGTACTGTACTTAAGTACAATGTTGAGGTACTTGTACTTTACCTGAGTATTTCCATTTTAGGCTACTTTGTACTTCTACTCCACTACAGTTCAGAGGTAAATGGTGTACTTTTACTCCACTACATGTATTTAATACCTTTAGTTACTTCACAGATGTGGATGAATGATGTGAAATATAATCAAGTGTTAAATCAGACTTTAGTTCCACCTGGAGTAAATCCACAAGCTACCCTGCAGTATACAAAGTCATTCAAACTAGCTGCACCTTTACCAGCTTTGAGAACACTTTCATGATCAATCATTATAAAACATATCATATATATTATTCTGAAATGGACCAATCTGCACAATCACTACTTTTACTGTCGCTACTTTCACTATATTTTGATGAGAATACTTTCCTACTTTTACTTGAGGAACATTTTGAATGAAGGACTTTTACTGTAACAGAGTATTCCTACACTCGGGTACTTCTACTTTTACTCAAGTACAAGATCTGAGTATTTCTACTTTTACTCAAGTACAAGATCTCAGTACTTCTACTTTTACTCAAGTACAGATCTGAGTACTTCTACTGTTACTAAAGTACAAGATCTGAGTCATTCTACTTTTACTGAAGTACAAGATCTGAGTACTTCTACCTTTACTCAAGTACAGATCTGAGTACTTCTACTGTTACTAAAGTACAAGACCTGAGTACTTCTACTTTTACTCAAGTAAAAAATCTGAATACTTCTACTTTTACTCAAGTACAAGATCTGAGTACTGATATTTTTACTGGAGTACAAGATCGGAGTACTTCTACTTTTACTCAAGTACAAGATCTGAGTACTTCTACTTTTACTCAAGTACAAGATCTGAGTACTTCTACTTTTACTCAAGTATATTTTGATGATAATCCTGTAACAGACTGGTTATAATGTTGATGTTTTCATGTGTTTTTTTCTTCAGAGTTTATTTACATTTTACAGAGTGTCAGTGAACGCGTCACTGTTTTGATAGACAGTTGTTGTGAAGAGAAACAGCCAAAATGATGAAGAGAGAGAAACAAGAGTGTTGTTTTCCTCTGAGGACATGCTCCATGAAAGAGTTTCATATCTTGATGAATGGAGGATATTCAGTACTCACAGTTCTTCTGGATCTTGGCTCTGATCGTCTCTCCTCCTCTGATCCTGTAGGGATGAACACAATCCAACAGATATGGATCCAGTTTAAAATAAGTGTTTGTTCCTTGAGTCAGCTTCAGAGTCCTGACTGATCTCATGCTTTACATCCCATCATATCTTCTCTGCAAACACTACGACTGACTGCCACAGCTCTCAGCTGCATTACAGGAAGTAACAGTCATTAGTCAACTAAAAACATGCCATAAGAACAGACTACCTTTTCCACTCTTCTGTCAAATCCCATATGTCTGGTGGAAAGTTGATTACTTACTAAATGTGGCTTTGCATTTTCAGCTGGCCTTCTATAGTTGATGGAAGAATGAAAGAGCCTGCAGTCAGTGGGTAACATCACTGATCTGTTGTGATTCCCCAGTGAGAGAAACACCTCCCTGTGTTTCATACAATACTGCTGAACCAGCAGAGACCCCTTACTGACCTGAGGGTCTCCAGTCTGCAGTCTGGACTCTCCAGAAGATCTCTCAGCAGCTCCTCTCCTGAATCCTGCAGAGCGTTGTCACTCAGGTCCAGATCTCTCAGATGGATGTTGGACTTCAGAGCTGAGGCCAGAGCAGAACAGCTGATCTCTGACAAACTGCAGCCCCTCAGACTGAATAAAGAAAACATGATGAGGATAAAAATCTGTTTATAATCCAATCAGATGTTACTCAACATTTAAAGTGGACCTATCATGCTATATTATAATAATATAGTGTAGGACCATACCTATATAAGGCATATTTATACTTTTTTTTTTTTCAAAATACCAAACAGATCATGCATTTTAGCCATGCCTCATTTCGCTCAATTTTACCCCTGTTTTTGCAAGGGCTGATTCTGTGAGAACAGCACCACCTACTGGCCTGGCATATGTACTACAGCGTCTCCAGCGCTTTCGAACGGCAATGGCCGTGGCTGTCTCCTCCTGATTGGTGGAGTTGGCCCAATAGCCGTAGCGCCACCGTCCTGACGTCAGGACAGTGTTCAAATCTGGATCAGTTTTTATCAGATCCGTTGCAGCCCCTTTTTTTAGAGATTTGGGTATGGAGGAAAATAGAGAGGGTTGTGTTTTCTGACACTTGGTGAGTTCCCTGGAACACCGGGGACACATATTCATGTATAAAAGACGTACAAAAGTGCATTTTGCATGATGGGTCCCCTTTAAATGAATGGGAACAGAAAAATCTGTCTACTTCAGAAAGTAAACTTTATCATGTAAAACTAATATTACTTTAGAAGACCTTTATTCAGATGTTATTGTTTACAAAATATTGAATACATAGATTTACTTTTTACAACTAACATATATTACAGTCAACATTTATGTCTGCAGTTCTTTCTT